ACAACTCTGAGCTATTAGTTAAGTTCTCCCCAAGCGAGCTCGATGGGCCGAATGGCCTCCTCTCGTTTGTATAGTTCTTATGTTCTTACTGTATGTAACTTCCGGCATAACACTGCTGGCTTCCAACTGCAGGCCCAGAAGTGCGGCGCGGTGGCCTTGCGGTGCTGCATTTGGATGGTATTTAATACATGTGGCCACAAGTCCGATGACATGACCATACCCAGATAGCAAAATTCATGCGGCCCATATCCGGCCCACACCAGACGCTTACATCTGGCCCACATACCGCATGGAATGATGGCACTTGGGCGGTCCACTTCTGTTTGCCAGATCTGAGCCACATAAAAGCCATAGCAATACCACATATCAGCCAGAATTCAACCAAATGAACCAGAACTGACCCTATTCTGGGCCACAGTTTGCTTTTATTCTGGCTCAGATCTGGCCCACACCAGACGCTTACATCTGGCCCACATACCGCATGGAATGATGGCACTTGGGCGGTCCACTTCTGTTTGCCAGATCTGAGCCACATAAAAGCCATAGCAATACCACATATCAGCCAGAATTCAACCAAATGAACCAGAACTGACCCTATTCTGGGCCACAGTTTGCTTTTATTCTGGCCCAGATCTGGCCCACACCAGACGCTTACATCCGGCCCACATACCGCATGGAATGATGGCACTTGGGCGGTCCACTCCTGTTTGCCAGATCTGAGCCACATAAAAGCCATAGCAATACCACATATCAGCCAGAATTCAACCAAATGAACCAGAACTGACCCTATTCTGGGCCACAGTTTGCTTTTATTCTGGCCCAGATTCGGCCAAACCTGACACTTACATCCAGCCCACATACCACATGGAATGATAACCATGAAATTACAGATATAACAGAAATTATCCTAATTTGCACCACTGTTGATTGTTATTCTTACCCTGGACTTTCTCACATCCATATTGTTTATACGGCCCACTTGCTGAATGAAATTGTGACATTATGGCAGTGTACTGTATTTGCTAGATGTGGTTCACAAGCAGGCCACAGGTCAGATACAGGTCAGATAAGATTTAATATAAAAAACTATAACTTTACCCTAAATAGGCCACATACTATATTTTACTCAATGACAATGGCAAGTAAATCATGTATTAACAAAATAACAATAACTAATTAAAACAAACACAAAATAGCTTTGCAAGAAACACTTTATGAAAAAATAAATCATTTATCAACAATGTTTCAGTAAAGAGAAATGAAAAATAGCCTTCTTATGTTTAAAGGTAGGAAGAAAACATTCCTGAAATAATTAAATCATGAACACAAAAGAGCTTTACAAAAAACACTGTAGAAAAAATGTGAAAAAAGTGAATCCAACAGAAAACATTCCTGAAATTATTGCATCATTTAGTATTATTATCAATGATCTGTTTACATTTTTGCTAAATATTCAATAACAAAACAAAAAAATATACAGTCACAAAATAGCTTAATAAGAAACACTATACACAATAACACAGAACAATACGTTTTTATAAGATAACTCTTTAACTATTCAGAGTGTAAAACGTGGCAATAGACACTATGTAAACATTTTTAGTGTTCTTCTTGACAGGGCCCAGCAGTGTCATTGTGATCTTGTAGACCTTTAAATAATTTAAAAATAAAATGTTGAGTCAATAAAACATGCATGTTCTCTTGTTTTTGCAAGATCTGACTAATTTATTTAACTAATATTATTTTCTACATTTTGTTTTGAGTTGTGTGTTTTGCTTCTAGAAATGTTATAAAACAGACATTGCAACTGACTTACAGTTTTTCTGGAGAGTCCGTCTTCGCTCCTCTCTTTCTCTTCTCCCTCCATCTCGGTCACTTGCAAGGTGAAGCCATCGTTTTATGTAGCACTCAACCTCTTGATCAGTTGCTGTTGCTGTAAGTCTGTTGTTTCTCACAGTCCCTAAAAATATGAACAATCTGGTGACCCAAGAATCAAGTGCAAAATGTTCTTGTTTTCTGAACATGATTTGCATGGTAAAACTTTAAAGACATTCTGGAAGTGGACGGAGATGCAAGTTTGACACTTGCTTGGAACATCATACAGTACTTCAACTATCCTTTCTGATTCCATCCAGGCCTATAAGGTTAACAGAGAATGCCTTGCCTTTTGCTAAACATGTAAATATCTTCAGTAGCTTCTGAAGGGCATTACTAAATGAATTGATACGATTTACAAACAAAATAACAAAATATATCAAACCAACAAGTGTTCAAATGTTTACATACCCTTGTCCCATACTTGTTTTGGCTCTGTATTGTATTTACAAGTACAGATATTGAAATATCTCATTCTAAGTTATCAAAGGGGAATGATATGAATTAGTTAATATCCACTGTCTATGTTTAGATAAATAACATCCATGAATCTATTTCAGACTAAGCACTAAAACACACAAGACTTAGCAATAAAACATCACAGAAGGTCTTGGTCAGAAAAAGACTTGTTAAGGAAATTTTCCAATTTTCTAAAAATTAATTATATTGTAATGTCAGCGGCAAAAAAGCCACTGCTGAGCAGCAAACATGTGATTGAATCTACTGGACTCTCAAGATCCTCTTCCTCTGCAAGGTCATTTTAGGGTGTAAAAATGACTTTTGCAAGTTATGTTTAGGTTATAATTGAGCATTTTCTGCTGTGGTATAAAGTAAAGAATAGTGCCCTCGGAAATAAAAGGAATTTCATGCAGAACTACACACTCTTATGCTTATCTAATCTTATGCTGCAAACATACCATGGTGGTAAACAGTTGAAAATGTGTTTCTGTGCAGGTTTCTCTTTGTGATGTTTGGTCAGCAGTAGCTAAAACTCCATGGTATGTTTGCAGCATGAGAGTGTGTTTTTCTGCATGAAATTCCTTTTATTTCAGAGGGCACTATTCCTGTGATTCTAATGATTAATTAATGATGTTGACACAACATTTTCTTTTTTAGACCAAAAAATATCGAAACCGGACTTCCTAAGCAAACATTTTGATCGCGTCTTTGTTTACTTTATACGCAGAAAATTGATTCTTATCATTTGTTATAGAAACTATTTTTATAAATAAGTTTGATTGGATTAGAAATAGTACATAGAAGGTAAGTTTGATTGAGTCTCAAGGGATTGTGGGAGTTTTGACCGTTGAAATTTGAATAGTCTTGGCTCATTTGAACATTCCGTCAATGTAAGTCTATGGGATTTTTCCCAGTTTCGGCATTTTTAGGAAAAACGTAAGTCCGATCAGTCTGAAGATCTGGGCTGAGTTTGGAGTTTGTAGAGTTAAAGCTCTAGGACGAGTTACAGTCAGAAAATTTAGTCTCAGAATAATAATAATAATAATAATAATAATAATTGGAAGTTTAAATAGAATATCAGTAAGTTGGCTTTCTCAAGCCAACTTAATAATTCGGTTCTTGAGGGCTGGCGTATCGACTTCTGAAAATGAAAGTAACGCAGCTAAAGATAAAAGATATATATTTAAGCATCACTACCATTAATATGAATGGGGAATGGTTGCAAACCTACTATCTGTTTCCATCCAAAGTTGCGTATTAAACCTACACACAACTGGAATATTGTATTAAACATTTGCGGGGGAAAAAAGCATCATTTCCATCCAGTGAGCTGAAGGGATCAAAATCCTTACTTCCTGATACACATTTCAGCTTTTTTTTTTACCCAAAATGCCCATAATAATGGAGGGTGGAAACATAGCTACTGTAAGTTGAGGCGTGTGCTTCACGTGAGCACAAGCTGAAGCAGCATTTAAGGTGATTTCTAGCGTAGTTTAAGCTTGGGAAATTAATTGTATGTTATAGTTAATGTCAGGTTTAATTATTGATCAGAAATACTGATTTAATTTTGGACTTTTACTAGCGATTTCAGAAATATCTACCTCCCCTATTCAAGTAGATAGAACTGTGGTCTTGCTATGACTAAAATAGCTGCACAGAAGCGTTTTGAACTTGGCCGCCTTTAATGCAGGCCTGTTAATCTTATTTGTTTTATTAATATTATTTTTTTTTCTCTGTTGTCACAAACACTGCAGGTGCATGGAAATTTAAGGATGTGTAAGATGCTAATCTGAACAGTTAACAGTTAATGTTCGGATAACAAATTGTGGTTGTCGGTTAGGAAAATTAATCAAAATGAGCATCCCTAGTTTGATGACATGAATGCATGTAACACTTACCAGTTATTACATCTTTCATATGCAGTCCATGGAAAGCTGTTTTGCCATTGATGCCACGCCAGTTGAGCTGTTTGGCAAGGGTGTTGGTAAAACAGTGCTTCATAATTCGCCAAACACTATCCTTAATGTCAACTCCTCCAATGACACTGAAGGTAGTAATCTGAAAAAGTAAAATTGAAAAACTATGGATACCTAAACCAACACCACACTCATAACCCAGTTCTAATAAAAGGTATTTTTTAACTTTTCCCTAAGTTGGAATTTAGGATGGTATTTTAGAATGGACATCAACACTACCCTTGAGTGCTTTTACTCCACCATTTTGTAAAAGAAATTAGTAAAAATGTAGTACAATTGTCTATAGCTAAAGACAGGAAGTCAAATACATAGAATGGCATGAGGATGAACAGGTTATGAATTTTATATTTGGGTGACCTACTGTAGTAAATTGTTAAAAATACTGTGCATCCATCAGCGAGAATAGAATTACTGCTGTCCAACATACAACTTAAGTGGCTGGGAATACTAATAAACTAAACTATTATTTTATGTGGTAAGGCAATGTTATTACCATTTTGTTTTTGAGGTCTTCCTCTTCTCTGAGACGTTTTTCCAAAGCAAGGAGGGCAGTCACATCTTTCAGCGGCAGCACTTCTCCCTTGAGGGGATCCTGCCCCTGGGCAGGTTGGCATGTTTTTTGCAGATTCATCTGAATCACTTTAAGTTGTTCCAAAATCATTTCTTGATTTGTAAGAAGTTTGTGCAGTAGAGCTGAAAAAATGACATTGAACATACAGTATAAGAAAACTACTAATCAGCTGAACTGGAAAAAACCTTATTAAGGATGCTCCAGACTAAAATATATATATATATATATATATATATATATATATATATATATATATAT